CGTTGGCGCAACAAAAGGTATTATACACACACACACACACACACACACACACACACACACACACACACACACACCTTGTCTCTCTAATATCCTGGGACAGACACAGCTACAACAACAGCGCTGGAACAGTCCATCCAGTAGAGCAGTAGTGAATGTGTGTGAGCTCCCGTGCGCAGGTGTATGTGTATACACACACACACACAACAGCTGGCATGAACAAAGCCCCAATGGTTGCAATATACACAGGATGCCTCTGATCTGGGCCTGAGCCTGCACCACGCTGGCTTCCTACTGAGTTTTGCAACAAGCTTCTAATTCCAGCATAGGTCAAGGGTCCCCCTGCAAACAAAATTGGCACAGGTACTGGGCTAGTCCACGCTTTTTCTGGAAGGAAAGGCTGCCTCTCTCCTGGGCTGGGCAGACAGCCCTCGTCATGCAGGGGAAGATATTTGTTCTTAATCTCAGTAGCTGTAGGGTCGGCCCAAAGGTTTCTTCTACAGAGCTAAGTTTAGTCTAAGGCAGGTTTTGCATACGCTGGCTTGTTTCACTCCAGCACCAAGGCGAGATTGGCCCACCCCTAACTGCTGACAGGGCAAAAACTGCACTTCCAAAGTCTCCCTTTCCCCAGCAAACAGGAAATGCTTAAGGACAGCGGCTGCGTCCAACGCTCAACCTTGTGCTAAACCACTTTGCTCAGCGGCAGCCCTGGGCTCTAGGGCCCCATATTTCTAGGGTGACCAGATGTCCCGATTTTATAGGGACAGTCCCGATTTTATAGGGACAGTCCCGATTTTTGGGTCTTTTTCTTATATTGGCTCCTATTACCCCCCACTCCCTGTCCCGATTTTTCACACTTGCTGTCTTGTCACCCTACATATTTCCTTTCTTTGAAGGGCTGTCCAAGGGCTTGTCTACACTGTGACACTCAGGGAAATTCATCCAGATTAACTAAACAGGTGAGTTTAAAATGAATTAGTTACACTGCATTAAGCCCCTGTGTGGACACTCTCATTCAGAATGAAAAGTTGCCTGCGTTCAATTTAATTTAATTAATTTTGAAAGTCAATTAAGTTTAAACGCTCATTCAGAATTAGTTTATGTCAATTTACTTCCAAAATTAACTAAATGTAACTGAATTAAGGTGATTTAATTCTGAATGGGAGTGTCCACCCAGGGTTTAATGCAGGCTAACTCATTCAAGTGCTTTGGAGGACAGGATTAGAATGCAAAACGATCTTGAGAAACTGGAGAATTGGTCTGAAGTCAATGAGGTGAAATTCAATAAAGACGTGTGAAGTTCTGCGTTTGGGAAGGAAAAGACAAATGCAAAATGGGGAATAACTCGCTGGCAGCAATACTGCGGAAAAAGATCAGGGGGTCAGAGTGAGCAGCAATGTGATGCTGTTGTGAAAAAGGCAAATGTAATTCTTGGATGTATTAACAGGAGTGTTGTATGCACAGGATGACCATGCGTCCCGTTTTGGCTGGGACAGTCCCTTTTTTTAAAGTCCCGTCCTGGCCATCCCGGCTTTTTTGGGACTTGATCAATTGGCACGAGCCAACGGGACAAATGCCCAATTTTGTCAAAAAAGGGAGGTGTGGTGTGGCGGAACATGGGGGGGGGTGAGCGGAGATGCCAGACCCGTGGCGGGGGGAGAGGCAGGGCTCCAGTGGGGGAGCTGGCACGGTTCCAGCGACCAACAACAGTCTCACGGGTGGCAGAGCGGGAGCAGGGCCGCCCAGAGGATTCAGGGGACCTGGGGCAAAGCAATTTTGGGGGCCCCTTCCATAAAAAAAAAGTTGCAATACTATAGAATATTATATTCTCGTGGGGGCCCCTGTGGGGCCCAGGGCCTGGGGCAAATTGCCCCACTTGCCCCCCCACTCTGGGCAGCCCTGGGCGGGAGGCTCGGGCCAGCCCCACGCAGTGTCCCGTTTTCCTTTTGGGAAATATGGTCATCCTACGTATGTAGGACACGGGAGGTAATTGTCCTGCTTTACTTGGCACCAGGAGTTCTCAGCAGAAGCACTGTGTCCAGTTTTGGGCACCACACTTCAAGAAAGATGTGAACGAATTGGAGAGATCCCAGAGCAGAGCAACAAAAATGATCAGAGGTTTAGAAAAAGAACTAGAGAAGTTCCTGGAGGACAGGTCCATCAATGGCTATGAGCCAGGAGGTGCAGGGATGGTGTCCCTCGCCTCTGTTTGCCAGAAGCTGGGAATGGGCGACAGGGGATGGATCACTTGATGATTCCCCGTTCTGTTCATTCCCTCTGGGGCACCTGGCATTGGCCACTGTCGGAAGACAGGATACTGGGCTAGATGGACCTTTGGTCTGACCCAGAGTGGCCGTTCTGATGTTCTAGAAGACCTGATCTATGAGGAAAAGTTGAAAGAATTGGGCATGTTTAGTGTAGAGAAGAGAAGGCTGAGGGGGGACCTGGAAACAGTCTTCACGTATGTAGAAGGATGTAGGCAGAGGACAGTAGTTCTCTGTGTCCCTCGTGGGTAGCACAAGAAGTAGGTGGCTTAGTTTGCAGCAAGGGAGATTTAGGGTGGACATTAGAAAAACATGTCTAACCGGGATAGTTAAGCAGCGGAGCAGGTTAGGACATCCCCTGCCCTTCTTGCCAGTGGGTCCCTCCACGCTGATAAATGCCCACCCCACGCCCTGCTGCTGCAGTGGAAGATGCCTCCCCTCCTTGTGTATAATGTGGAGCATGATTCTGCCAAATTACTCCTCTCTCTAGCGGTGTCTCACCTGGGCCGGTCTCACAGGTGAGGGGGAACTGCTGGATCACAGGGGTGGAGGCGTTGCCGTAGTAATCGGTCTCCCGGACCCACCAGTAGGGTCTCTGCCCAAAGAGAATCCTGAAACACAAGAATAAAAGTGGCTCTAGTTGCCTTGGGCCCACGACCAGGAAAGCAAAGGACACAGCTCGTCAGCTCTGGCCCAGGGTGGGGCCGGGGCTGCAAGAATCGGGGATCCTCAGTTCCAGGCCAGTTGTCTGTAGGCACGACTTCAGTCTGAGCTTGGGGACACAGCTGGCTTCCCCTCTGTGCATACAGGCACCTGCACATGCTGCACGCTCACCCCTTTCCTTCATGGTGCAGCAGGGCACAGGAGACGTTCAATCTGCTTCTCCCCGGGCGTGAACCAGAGATACAACATGTGCCTCACGCTGGCTGACCCATCACCCCCCAGCCCAGCCCACCACATGCCCTCCTTGTCTCCAGAGGCAACTCCATCACCACACCCAATCTCACCCTTTCCCCGACGGGGCAGAGCCCCATGGTTACAGCAAGTCTGGAGAAGAGCAATCGCCGTTGGTGCGGCACCTAGGACCGGATGGATGACACCCAGAGCTGGGGCCAGCTCCCGTGCTCACTCACACGCCGGGCTCATGCCCCATGCCTTCTCCCTGCCGCTTTCTGTCATACGCTATACAAAGATTCACATGGCTTTAAAAGGGGTTAAGATTTTAGATGGGACTCTGCACCCATCGACCTCAAAGGACTTTTTGTATTACAGAAGGGGAAACTGAGGCTACCTTGCCCATATCACACCGTAGGTCAGCAGCATCTCCGTGTCCCAGGTAAGCCCCGTAGCCCCTGCACCACACAGCCTCTCACAGGAAAATAAAAGCAGTTAAACATAAGCCCCTAAATCTGTGTGCTGCCGAGCTGAAGGAACTTGTCTTTGGAAAGCTCCAACTGGGAGCCACCCTGAACCCGCTTGGTAGGTGCCCACTTCACAGCCGAACAACCCTCAGCAAGCCGGGCGTGTGCAGGGCAAGCAGCTGGAACGGGACCAGCACAGGCAACTCACCACTTAAAGACCAGGTTGAGCCAGTCCCCGATCACGGCCACCCAGATCAGCTTGACGCCCACGGCCTCGCAGAGGTGGAACCAGATGGGGAAGAGGATGAAGAAGGTGTTTCTGAGGTCGGCAGCGAAGGAGATGAAGAGGAACCAGTCCTGGGAGCCCTGGTAATGCTCCTGCAGGTAGCGAGTCGCCTGGATCCCCATGTCATGGAGGACGTTCATGCCGGCCTCCATTCTCCTTTTCTCTCAACACTTCAGTCTCAGCTGAGAGTGCCGCGTGATTTCGGTCTCTGCTGAGACTGCACTGCTCTGGGGCTGCTCACTGCCTGGCTTTATACCCTGCCGGGCTCCTGTTTGCAGCCTGTAAGTTGCTGGCTCCCACACTGATCTTTGGACCCAAAACACTTTTGCCAAAACCCCCATTGATCAAAGGTGCATCACCGGGGGGTTGATCCAAACCTGTTTAGAGCAATTTACGTAAAAGAGAAAAAGAGGCTGACAAAACAGACTGCTGTTTGCCATCCACTGACCTGAGGGCACCGTTAACCCTTTGCAGCACCAGGCTACTGGCTACGGTACAAGAATAGCCTAGGAAAAATCACTCGGGTTTGTTTTAAACTGAACCCAGCCTGTGCTGTGCACAATTCCTGCTGCCTCCTGACGGTCGCTTGCGAACCACAATAGTACCGTTCATTTTTTAAATTACGAGTGTCAAGAACACTATTTGAACAGAGCCCGAAGGACTGACAGTCACGCGGGCGGCACGAAGCACAGCGCGCTCAGAGCTCCAGTGGGGTCACTTTGGCATTTACTGGAGTGTAGTGGGGTCACGCAGGCCCTTGGTTGGGCTCCGCACTTTGGAGAGAGGTGTCACCGTAGCGTGGGCTTGATTCTCAGCCGCATTTGTGGGAGCAGGATGAAAGCCGAGAGCTGGGTAAGGATAGATGGGCACCTTTAGGGCATTTGCACTACCCTGTAATTTAACTGGGAACTGAGCCAGACTCTGCTTACTGGGCCAGTATCCCCCTAAACTCCAGAAGGACCTGCCAATGGCGCTAGACAGTCAGGCTTCCCCAGTGATTGGCCTGTGGTCGTGCTTTTCTAGAGACACTTTGCTGGGCTTTGTGTGGCCTCAAAGGAACTTCGGCGTCCAGGTACCCTAGACCCCAGACACTCTTGGCTCAGTAAGTCCCTCACTTCCCGCTTGCCCAGCGCACAATGGAGGAGGAGGAGGACACAGGGCTGCACTCCCACAGGAGGGTGCGCCTTGCGTAGGGCCCGATCCTGCTCCCACTGCAGGCGGTGGTAAAACTCCCATGCGCCGCTGTGGGGTCGCCCTTGCTGACACCAGCTCTGAATCTGGCCTCACTCTCTAGCTTGCTACATTCAGAGCTGAACTTCCCAGGGTAGAAGAGACGCCCAGAGAAACAACCAATTAGATTCTACTCCTAATCACAAACCCCATGCCGCCAGCTCTGCATCTGCCCTGGGCCTTGGCATCCTGCAAAAGCGCCCAGTCTGCCCCACTTGATGCAGCGACAAAGAATATGAGACATGCAGCCCTTGAAATGGGTCTCAGGGAAAGGTGGAACCTGTTTATACTAGAAAATAAAACCCTGAAGGATCATTGGGATCTGAAGCAAAGGGAATATACTCAATTCTTGACACCTTTGTCCCTAAGTTTGTCCTCTCCTCCCCTGCAGCCATGCTGCCCCCGCGCTGTCGAGGAAGGGCAGCCCTGCCCGACAGCATTATCAGCACCTCTCCTGATAAGCATGAATTATGGATTTGGTATCTGCCTGGCGTGCCAGCCACCTGGAACCACATGCCATTAGCATGCACAGGACTCAACCGCGTGGCTTCGCTGTCACGTAATGAACAAGAAGAGCCTGCTTTTCTATCTGGTGACGTGGGTCCCTTCTGACTCTCAGGAGCAGAAATCAGAACGTGTGCCAACACCGGGGCAGCTTGTGCGCTCGCTGAGATTCCCGGCTTTTAACGGCAGCGTGGGGTGGACGAGGCTGCACACAGATGATCGTGCGTGGCTCACACAGGCTGTGGGGCAGGATCCTCTCTTTAGCGGGAAGGCAGGGGGGTGGCTGGGCCCCTGGGTCTGGGACGCAGCCATTACGGGGGGCAGAGGCGCAGGCAGGAGCCGAGCGATGGAGAGCCTGGAAGCCAAGGGCCCGACCTGATGCACAGAGCAATGAGGAGCTGATGGCCCTTCGAAAGGGGGGTGCTGGGTCAGAGCCAGGAGGGAGGGAAACCATTTCAACAGCAGCATTTCAGCTGGGGGGGGCATGAAGAACAGCTCGACGGGGGCTGAGCACTCAAGGCAGGAGATGATTAGGGAGCTAAGCTGTAGTGTGTGTGTGTCCCCACGGCACAGAGAGCAATGGGGCTATTGTTAGGGCGGGTCTGGCCCCAGGAGGGGAGGGAGAGATGGCCCCTGGGCTCTGGGTTTCAGGCGGAAGAGGTTCTGGGAAGTAGGGCAGTGGATCAGTGTTAACCATCCTGGGGTGACTGGCGCCACGGGGACAGTGAGAACTGCAGCCAGGGGACAGGCCCCGGGTGGAAGCAGTTGTCACAGGCATCAGCCCCACTGCACAAGACGCAGCATTGCCCAACATCTCTGCTCTGTGCCTGTAACGCAGAGCTCGCACGGATGCCTCCTGTCCACCTGCCTGCAGGCTCCAGCCGGCTATCGCCGCTGTTGAAACTGTGTGGGGAGATGCTAACCAAACAGCTGTGACGTTAGCTAACCAAACAGCAGGCAGGCAAACTCCTCTGCACCAAAACACGCTGGCGTACGCAAGTAGGGGAAACAGCGCGAGGGTTTCATGTTTGCCAGCCAGTGAAACGCAGCCCTTATCTCCGCTCAGTGAGAAAGTTCAGGTCAAGAGCCTTGAACCACGCAGCTGTGAGCAGCTTGTCCCAGGCTGGGGTCACATCCCCAAGAGCTGGGCCCTGCTGATAAATAATGGACACTGTGCAGCTGGACACCCTCTAAACCTCTGAATTCACCATCAGCGAAACCCCACCCACCCTGCTCCCAGCGGCTGGCTGCTTGTGTGAGCTGTGGTACCAGCTCTTGCAATAGTTGGGGCTTTTCTTAAAGGCCCAGCTCCTGGAGTCAGAGGATCTCAGGCTCTCCTTTATTAACAGGGAGCCCAAATTAAACCCAGGAGTCTTGCACCCCAGATGGGCACGGCCCTTGCTCCCCAAGGTCCGCCTGGCTTCCAGCTTCCGCACAGCTCAGCTCAGCCTCTCTCCTCAGCCCAGCTCTGTCTCTGCAGGAACTCCCAGGCCTTTCTACCTCCCACCGGCCTCCCAGCCCTCAGCCCATTTCAGCCACCCAGGCCTGGCTCTCCCACTCATCCCCATTCCTCTTCAGGAGCACCAGCCCCACGGCAGGCTGCCTCCCCGGAGCCAGCTCCACTCCTGCCTCTGCCCTTTCCCACCCCCAGGCCCTTCTCCCCCATCAAAGTTGCCTTCCTCTATTTATTAGTCCCAGCTGCTGCCCTGCCCTCTTCATCAGTTCAACCGGGGATGCACCTGTGCAGGCCGAGGGGAGCTGGGCCCGCTTCAGTTAAAGGGACCGGCCACCCTGTGACAGTCCCCCGGGAACGATGGGCCCTGGGGCTTCTCATGGCCAGCAGCCCCACAGCAGTCAGAATGTGAAACTGACGGCATGAGAGGAGAAGCAGACCCCGTCCTCCAGCTGTACTCAACATCTCCCCCCTTCACTGCAGAGAACAGCTTCTGAGCTCCTTGGGTCATGACAGTCTCTGTGCGGTGACTGGCGCTGATCCGACTTGCGTCTCAAGCCGCTAGCCCAGCACAAAGCCAAAATAATCCGCAGCATCGGCCTGGCGAGGGGCCTTTGAGGATGCAGATGCTTTCCTCCGCCCAGGCCCCTCGCTCTCTGGCCCTGCGTTCAGAGCCCCGGCTTGCTGCCTGCTCCCACCGAGGAGCAGAGTTTGAGGGGCGTCCTGGCCCTGGGGCCTTGTGAGAGTTGCTCCAAAAGGGGAATGAACATGTGCACAGAAACGGGGCTTAGGAAACGACTTTGCTAAACACTCCTGGTCCAGAGTCCCTTGTGCGAGAGCCTTTCTGGACCACGCCAGGGAATCTGGCTTCAGCTTCAAAAATGTCTTTTCTTGGAAACGTCCCAGTAAGAGTTCTGCCCTGGGAAGTTTCCACATGGAAAACAGGAGGGGGAAGGGAGGCCCTGAGAGTCACTGAGCAGCAGCTTCTTCCAGTCTTATTGAAGAGACCTCCCCAGATGTCCTTCCCGGCCAAGCTGCAGGAGGTGGGGGTGTGCGGTGGGGTGGGGGCGCTCCTCTCTCCTCCGAGAAATTCTGATCAGAAAACAACCAACTGCTGCCAGGAAAAGGAGCTGATGTCCAGAAATGCCTCCTGCTCTCCCCGCAGCCAGTCCCCAAAGCGCCTCTCCCACTCCACCACCACGCCGCCCTGTCCCCATCCCCAGCTGGCACCACCGCACCACCCAAGGCACCAGCTTTGCCCATACACCCCAGCCACTGAGCACCCAGCATGGTACCCCCCCAGAATGTCTGTCTACTTCCCAGCCCCGAGCCCGGCCTCTAGCTTCCGACCCCTCTCAGACCCACACGGCCTGGCCTGGATCCGTTGGGCACAGCGGGGGGAAGCGAGTGACTAGGGAACCGACCCAGTGACGGACGGGGCCTGGGTTTCATCCACAGAAAATGACCCGTTGGAACTTTTCGTTCTGCTCAAACACCCCTGTGATGGAGAGCGCGCTGTGCCCAGGCCTTCCTTCGGCCAGGCCATGGGGCGTGGCTCTGCCCACGTCCCCAGGAGCCTGGCGTGTGTGCCAGAGGGCTGCAATGTCTGTACGTGCAGCTGCTCCACGGTCACGACCCAGCACTGTGAGGGCCAAGGGAGAAAAGCCAGAGATCCTGAAATCCAGCAGGTGCTTCGCCACTGCCCAGTGTAAGGTGTTCAGATTCTCCGCGTGTCCTCCAGCTGCATCCTGACGGCATGCAGACCCTTCCCTCCAGGAAGCCCCTGCCCAGAGGGGGTCACCAATCACCCCGGGGTCACTCTGATCCCAACACAGCTCCCCCCAAAGGACCCCTGTCTCCCTGGTGGCTGAGTCCAAGCCCCACACAGACCCGCAGGGCGAAATGCTGCATTTCCGGGGTTGTCTGTTCAGAGTGAGGAGCATCGTCTGGCCCCACCCACAGCGCTGGCAACCCCCACGCCCCACCCTGCGGGGCACCCATGGGCAGAGCAGCACCCCGGCTGGGAGGCAATGCCACGCTTTGGCCTAGCCCTGTCCCCCTCAGCAGGTATGGGACAGGCGCCTCCTCCAGAGGAGAGATGGAGTCTGTGCCATATGGGCCCAGAGCCGACGTCCAGGCCCCCTGTCCTGCTGGGAGCTCGAATGGAGTTTCTCGGCATTGAGGAACATTTGTCTGGGGCTAGGAACAGCTGCAACCCATCCAACCTCTGAGAGAGCAACACAGCTTCTTGCCAGGATAACACAAGATTCCTCCTGGCCCTCCAGGGTGCTGTAATATCTGCCAAATCCGGCCTGGTCTTGGTCCAAGTTTCCTTCTGAGATAGTGCTTTGGGAGTGGACTGCCTGGGATTCCTTGTGTGCTACAGATCACCCCTCACAGCCTGCCAGAGCCGAATTCCTCCTTCACACGCCTGCAGAGATCCCCTGGCCTTCCCGTCGCTGGCCTGAGTCGTTTGAGCATTGGTCTGCTAAACCCAGGGTTGTGAGTTCAATCCTTGAGGAGGCCACTTAGGGATCTGGGGCAAAATCAGTACTTGGTCCTGCTAGTGAAGGCAGGGGGCTGGACTCAATGACCTTTCAGGGTCCCTTCCAGCTCTAGGAGATATTTATATCTCCATATATTTATATTTTTAACCTATGGCACGCGTGCCGAAGGCGGCATGCAAGCTGCTTCTCAGTGGCCCTCACACTGCCCGGGTACTGGCCAACGGCCTGGGGGGCTTTGCATTTTAATTTAATTTTAAATGAAGCTTTTTAAACATTTTAAAAACCTTATTTACTTTACATACAATAGTTTAGTTTATATATTATAGACTTATAGAGAGAGACCTTCTAAAAACGTTAAAATGTATGACTGGCCTTACGTTCGAGTGACTAAATGAAGACTCGTCCCAGCACTGCTGAAAGGTTGCCGACCTCTGGTCTAGCCCCCCTCTCTCCATTGTGGCTGGTTATGTTGTGTGCCCTGCCCAGGAGTCAGACGCTATATTGCAGCATGTTCTGGGCCTCATCGTCTTTCATGAGACAAGGTGGCTGACAAACGTTGGAGCACTCATCGCAGGCAAACGCTGCCCCTGGGCCACTGACCCCAAACCTCCCAGCACCCAATGCGAAATCATCACAGGGAGAAAATCCCCTGCTCCTCGTCACTACGACTGTTCTCCGGGGGGTTCAAACTCGGCCTTTCACAGGTTCCAGGAGCAGGGGAGCTTTGGGTGAGTCACATCCCTGAGCGATGCTTCAGTGTCACTCTCTGTGCAGTGGGAGTGATGCTAGACCTTCCTTTGCAAGGTGCTCTGCGATCCGACGGACGTGTTCTGAGGCCAGGACCCCCCGTCTTTCTGAACCGGGGCAGGGCCCCTTCTGCTGGATGTTTCACAGGAGCTGCATTCCCGGTCCCAGTTTTGTTTCCTCTGTCCTGAGCGGATTCTCCAGACATGAGAGATCCTGGAGGGGCAGCGGCAGCACAAGTTTCTTCTCCCCGTCCGCTCCTCGCTCCACCAACCGGCCTCATCCTTGACCTGGAGCAAGACAGGCCCCGTGGCCGGTTCAACCTGTCGCCTCTCTGCTGAGGCTGCCATTGGTGCGCGTGGTTTTACTGGTGTGGACGCCTCTCCAGTAGGAACTGGGCTGAGACCCTTGCACTCAGTTCACACAGGCCCAGCATACACTAGGCCATGGGCGGAAGGGGTGCACTCTAGGGGGTGAGGGCAGAGCAGGATCTGGAGAAGTTTTGCCTGGGTTAGCTCTGCGCTCCCAGCTGCTGGGAGCTCCTCTCTCCTTGCGCCTAAGGAAACTGGTCTTGGCTCAATGGTATTGCAAGCCTGGCCCATGCCCCCGAGGCAGGAAAGGACACGGTAGGAATCAGCCCAGGGCTCTGGGGAAGGAGCAGGGGCTTTCATGCTTTGTTTTACCATCTGAGGATTGAACGTGAACTTCCACCTGCCCCAGGTTCTTCTCTGCGTGCTGGGCACCATGGCTGGGACGCAGCCCAGACCTGAACTCCACAGCCTCTGGGCTGCTGGGGGGGAGAGGGGGCCTTCCCCTAGCATGCAGAAGGGAGTCAGGAGAGGCCACAGGATGGGGACCACTCTTCAGGTAAGCACAGCAACAGAAAGGAAGGGGGCATATGTGTGGCCATGTTTGATGCATCTTATCTTCTGCAAGCTGGGCCGTGCAGGTCCCTACATGAGGAAGCTTGCAGTACCTCTGTGTGTGTAGCACTGGAGAAAGAGGAGACGTGTCCCCGGCTGTAGACTCCTTTGGTGTGGGATGGACGTGCATCGGGGTGAGATTGATTTCATCAGTACTAAACTACCACTGGTGGGTGTGAGCGCTGCCTTGTCCCAGCTCTGAGCATCTCCAGTGATGCCGGGTCCTCAGCGGCTGGCTCCATCCTCTCGCAGCTCTACAGTGTTTACAGGCCGCTGCGCAGGGCTCGTGGGCCAAGGAGCGATGGCTGCAGGAGGCTGTGACGCAGCCTTCGGGCGGCGGCTGCAGACGTAGGCCAGGAAAGCAGGACTAACCTTCAGTCTATTTATAAAGCACCCACAGTTCCCAATCCATGCCATCTGAAACAATAATAAACAGGGAGAAAAAAACAACCACATCAGAACCGCCAGCTCCTCTCGATCCCGAGAGTTTCAATACGTAACAAGTTACGACAAAACCTCACTGCAGCCCCAGTGCCTCTCGCCAACCTTTGATCCACTAAGCACAACAGCCGGATCGCTGGCTTTGGGACAGCGTGTTCCCTGAGATTCCCAGGGCTCTGGTTAGCGTCCAGTCACACAATCAGCGATGTGGGCTCTGGGAAACGCTCCCAGCCTCTGTACTTCCTGCAACATCCCCTCCGTCAGAGAGCCTGTCCGTGTCCTCTGGGCAAATATTTAATCTAAAGTGCTCCCGGCCAGCCAGGAACTTTTGGGGGACTAAGTGCTGGGGAGTGAGGAGCTAGTCTTGGCTGGCAGCAGTTAGCACGGTGCCCTCCTAGCCTTCACCTGCGTCAGCGCAGCGAGCAGAGTCCAGGCAGGCCAATCCGGTAAACACACTGGGCAGACAGTGATGGATTTCTGAGAACTTGGCCTCCCCAGGGACTGGCTCGCCGTGTGCGGAAGGCAGGGAACATTCAGAGAATAGCATCCCATTTATGGCTGTCACTGACCCCTCCATACCTCTGTTTTCCCAGCTCATGGGGCCTGATTCTGTTTTCGTCTGCTCTGGCATAAATCCAGAGGGACCTGCACCGTCACAGATGGTGTGAAGATGGTGGCAGCATGAGAGACAAGGCCCATGGACATGAAGGTCAGAATGGACCATTGTGCCACGCTTGCCCCACCCAGGGACCCTTGTAGTAGAGGCAACTATACTTCCCTCCTGTGGGACATGACTGAGCCCAGTAACCTGTGGTCCAACCAGAGCACAGCTGTTAGAGCAACCCCCTCTTGCTCTAAAGACCCCCAGGGGCTCGTGAGTTCAGTACTTTCCTGGCAACAGGACCTCAGGGACGAGGATGGGGGCAGGAGGGAGAGCGGGAGGCTCAACGCACTGATTTTTTTAAAGCCCGTTGAGATTCTCAGAGGGCAGAGATGGGGCAAAGGATGCTGCTGCTAATACCCCCCACCTGTGAGCGGTGTACAACAGCCGAACCACAGACACAGGAGATGGAAAAGCCATAACCAGCTAGTCCACCACCTACCCTGGGGTCGGAGGCAGGATCGTTCCCTCCTGTGCAGGGAGGAGCCGAACAGCAAGGACTTTTCTAACACGTCTCCTCCACTCCCAGGCAGGTATTTTCCGCACCTTCCGTTTGCCGTTGTCTGGGCAGCTACTCTGGCCCACTCTCATCTCCTGGGCATTGGCCCTTACGTGGGAACCAATTCCTGGACTGTCCACCTGGATAATCTCTGCAGACCCACTGTCAGCTGGCAAAGCGCCGGGAGGAAGTGGCGTCTCTACCAGCCAGTCGGGAGTCTGCAAAGTAAACTGCTTTCCATACGGCTTTCCGTCTGTTCTTCTATTAAAAGAGGAACCATCCTAATACATTGAGGTTTCTGGGGAGCCCTCCGATAGGGCATAGACTGGGGATAGACTCTTGCCACTGAAATGCAACCACCTCTGGGATGGGATGTAAGAGCAAGCAGCATGACACCGTCCTGAGCCTAGAGCTGGGGGAGACCCAGGTAACGTCGCCGAGGGGCACTTTGGCCAGGAGAACTGACCGGACCTTGCTGCTCCTGGGGAAAGGGAATCCTGCCTGGGCCTGTCAGGGCCTTGGGGTTGAAGTAGCCCCCAGGAGAGAGAAGGAGTCGATACTAGAGCAGGAAGGAGCAGCCCTTGTGGTAAAGCAAAGAGCACAGAACCCTGCATGTGTCCCTGAGCGAGCACAAAGGAGCCTGAGAGAGGGGCCCATCACTGCGGGCCCCGTGCGCCAGGCCTGGCCCAGGCAGGGATCCCCTGAATGCAGCAGCCATAAAACATCTCTCAGCCAAGAGCAGGGAACTCCCAGGGCTCGTTTTTATAGAAAGCCTCCAGCTCTGATCCCACAAAACCCACCTCACAAACGACGCTGTCAGCCCAGAGACAGGGACATCACGGCCTCCAGCAGCCGGAGATGCTCTGCGGCTCAGTGGGCTCTGTTCTTGTTCAGCCCACAGCACCATACACCCTCCTACCAATCCTGACCTTCGACATCTGTGATCAGTCCCATCACCGCGTCCCTTCCTGCGCTGGGCACCAAACTGCCCCGACCCAGCCCCTGGGTTCCATGACATACACTCACACGGCCACTGTGCTGCGCACACATACCGGTGCTCCACCGGCCCGTCACACCAGCCCCCCAGAGTCCCGTGCTGCCGTTTGACAGATGGGGAAAGCATCGCAGCTCCTTATGCAGACCACCAGGTCTCAAGCCAGGCCTGCTGCCCCAGCGAACGTCCCAGCCCCTGAGAGGTCAAGGCAGGTGCTGCATGAGGCAGACTCCCCTGCTTCTCCCATGGGACTGCCCAACCTAAGGCGCATGTGCGGTTTGACCAATGTCTCGAAAGCAAGGCCAAGCCCTGACCTTGGTAAAGCGTCTGTGCCTTGGGGCAGACATCGTCTTCCCCACCCTCAGACACACAAACCCACTGGACTCTGGGGCCTCGCCTTCCAGTTTGGTGCATGTTCCCTGGGACACGCCCCACTACGAAGAAGCGGGCGCTAGGGCACATGGGACTTGCTCAGATGTTCTGTGCCCCCGGGCGGCACTGGGCTGCGCGAGCGCTGAGGCCCTGCAGGTGTCTGGCGGGGCTGTGGGGCCATTGGACAAGGGTCCGGGTCTCTGATTCAGAGCTAGGAGGATCGCTCTCCACAAGAGCCAAGGCCGGGGCTGATTAATCCCTGCTTGGTACAATTGTTACACATTAACTCACTTGTTTGTCCCTTATTTTCCAACTAGTGCTTTGCTGTCAATGGACTGGGTCCACAGAGCATTCCCAGCACGCGGCGTGTGCGTGGAACGGTAGCAAAGGTATTGCACAGCTAGGGAACACCTGGAGAACTCCTGCCGCTGGAACCCTGGCAGTGCTGCTCCCAGAGTCCTTCCACGTGCCCCTTGCCCTGTGTACGACTGGGATTCTTACAAATCACAATCAACGATTGAACAAATATTCCTCAGGGAACAACAGGCAACCCAAGGGCGGGGGAGCTGAGCCTCCCACAGGCTGCCCCACAGCGCTCTAGCCCTGCGCCGGAGAGCTCAGAAGCAGCGGGGTTGTCACCTGCTGGGAAAGGGGTGAAAGCAGGAGAGCAGAGGTGGCATCCTCACGCTGGGAGCTAAGCCAGCCCCACTTCTCGGTCAGCCGTGAGTCTCCTCCCCCTCCTCCTCGGCTGCTGGGTTCTCCCGCGCCTGGACACCACGCCAGCAGTGCCATGCACAATGGCCGCTTCCGCTTCTGTTAGTGATGTCACGACTGGTTAGTGTGGTGACAGCTGTGATGTCACAAGCAAATAGGGCCTGGAAGAAGCAGCCAGAGCAAGGGAATTTCGAAGGTGGGCTGATGACCTGTTCTCAGGCCAACCCCCTCCCTGACCCCAGAACCCCGGAGAGTGGGGCAGAGGAACACGGAGAGTTCCCTTCATTAAAGGGAAGGCACTACTCTTCCTTGGGCCTGTGCTGCTCTCAGACCCTCTCCCCATCCTGCACCAAGGGCCCCCTCCCCCCAGCCCTGCGGTTGCTGGCAAGAAAAGCCGTCATCACAACAACCCGCAATAGCTGGCGCTTAGCTCCCCCGCTCCTGAGCGCAGGGGCCTGTTCCTTTGTGCAGTGCCCAGCACAACTCACAGCTGTACGCTCCAGCCCCAATGCCGCAGCACGTCCCGCCCCAAGCCCAGCTGCCTGGCCCTCAGCCTCTGACCCCTCGTGCCAGGACTGTTTGTGCTAGAGAGACAATGAAGCAGCCCACAAGTGTCCTAAGGGAGTGAAACTTTCTCATCACAGACAGAGGGGATCTGAGAACCAACCTAGCATTTATTTCCTGTCACTGCGCTGAATGCTGCAAAGAGAATCTTGCAACCCCCGCACAGCAGGCCAGGCCAGGCCAGGTCTTTCCTCCACCTCCCCGCCTTCCAGTGTGTTGCAATGCCCTTGTAATGACAATCAGCGTCTCTGAGCCCCCATCTCCCACAACCAGCCAGCACTGCAGCACCCCTGACAGGCTCCAGAGTCAGAACTGATGGCCAGGGCCTGGGGAGGGGATGTGTGTGTGGAGGGAGGAGAAATGAAGGCCAACTTACAGGAGCACGTCTTCCCACTGCCCCCCAGATCATCATGTCCTATTCCTAGCAAACAGGCAGCGCAATCCCCATGTGTTAGGAGTTGGAGTCAGGGAGTAAAGTTTAGGCCCGAAGCAGAACTTTCCCAGAGTGTTTGGAACTGGGGTTCTGGTTCCAGCCCGTCTCTAGGAAATGGATCACACACAAGTCTGGGTTTGAAAAGCACTTGAGTGCTAGTGTATTAGGCAGGGAATGCCATTTCGAGCACCAGCTCCCTTGACCCGACAGAGACTGCAAATCCCCCAGACCCCTCAGCAAATGCCTCCTGACCAGCTAGCAGACAGATGCAAAACCAACCCCAAAAGCCTGGAGAAAGGGTTACCAACCTTGTATTTCAAAAACAAGGGACTGTTTTCTTAGCACCCCTGCCCTTTCTCTCCTCTGAGATTATTGTTAGAATTAATTATTAACAGGACTCACCTCCATTCACTATCACCAGGGGGGTTTCTTGCTGCTTTTTGCAGCACTCAGCAACTCCCAGTCTTGTTGTACCAAGATGAAAAAATAAGGGACTGTTATCAGCCCTTATTGCATGGATCCACCTAGCAAAGGTCTGCTGCCACCCAAGGCCGCCCGGGGGGGGGGGGACGGGGACGACAAGTGGGGCAATTTTCCCCCATGAGAATATAGTATTTTATAGTATTGCAACTTTTTTTTATGGAAGAGGCTCCCGCAATTGCTTTGCCCCGGGTCCCCTGAATCCTCTGGGCGGTCCTGCTGCCACCCTGTTCTGGTGGGGAGAGAGCCCTATGTCCCCTTAAGCAATGGGAATGCAGAAATTCAGCTTTTAAACAAACACCCAAAGCCTGAGCGAACAAGACACCCTGTGTCAAACACAGCTTCCTGGTCACTGGGACCCCTTCCCCGGCCAGCCTTGACAGCTGCAGGGTCACACAACAGTCCTGTAAACCCAGACTTGAGGCCTGGCCACAATTACTCAAACCATCCAGGCTGTTCTCCCACTAGCTGTGCAGTGAAATAACAAGGGGCATTATGGGCAATTCCATGCAAATGAGCATGCCAGCCAATGCCCTACCATCTCCCCAACTCTCCATGGAACTGGCAGTCCCCAAACTGCACCAGCCCTGGAGGCCCATCTTGAACATCCGTCCGCCATCTGCAGTCTGCTGCAACATATCCTGAGCTTTCTGATAGTCTGCCAGGTGCATTCCCGCCTCCTGCCCGGTCCTACACCCTCCTGTTGAGTCTCTGCAGAAATCCTTCCGGGTCTGTTTCAGCCCTGCCTCCCTCCAATGGGAGCACTCATCACCTTCATCCACTGAGCTCAAAGCATTTTGCAACAGAGTCATTCGTGCCCCTTTTACAGCTGAGAAAACCATGGCACCAGGAGGTCAAGTGACACCTCCCAGGTTACACACACTGAATCATAAGCAGAGTTGGGAACAGGACCCATATCTTCTGCCTCCCACCCAGTGCCCTGGAACTTCCACCCAACGGTGCCTTTGCTCCCTTACAGCAGTGGTTCACAACCAGGGTTACACCCCCCCGGGGACACACACAGGTCTTCAAGGGGGAACATCACCTCAACTAGCTATTTGCCTAGTTTTAGAACAGGCGACATAACAAGCACTAGCAAAGTCAATACAAACTAAAATGTCATCAGCCAATGACTGGTTTATACTGCTCTATATGCGATACACGGAAACGTCTAAGTACAATATTTATATTCCAATTGATCTCTTTTATAATTATAGGGTAAAAATGAGAAAGTCAGCCATTGTTCAGAGCTAGTGTGCTGTGACACTTTTGTACTTTGATGTCTGATTTTGTAAGCAAGTCGTTTTTAAGTGAGGTGAAACTTGGGGTACATAAGACAAATCAGACTCCTGAATGGGGTACAGTCGTCTGGAAAGGTGGAGAGCCCCTGTCTTACAGCAACAGAAAACAGGAGACAAAAGCAAGACATTTCTAAAGCCATTCGCACTTTTAAAAACCAGGCTTTTCCAAATGACACTGCTGTCACTTACCTTTTATTAGGTTCAGTATTAATAGCACATCTTTTCCTGTGTTTTATAACGTGACATATGTGTAACTATTGACTACACCTCAACCCCGATAGAACACGAATTCGGATATAACGCGGTAAAGCAGTGCTCCCAGGGGGGCGGGGCTGCGCACTCCGGTGGGTCAAAGCAAGTTCGATATAACGCAGTTTCACCTATAACGCGCTAAGATTTTTTGGCTCCCGAGGACAGCGTTCTATTGAGGTAGAGGTGTAGATGTGAATGTACTAACAGCTGTAATATTTTGACTGACATACATCTAAGCCAATGAGGATTCGGAGCTTGTGGCAATACAGAAATGTTACAGGAAATAAAAATTGGTCTTGAATGCACATCCACCCTGAGCTCCTGGGTAGGCCTGTGAGAAGACGACAGACGCTTGCTAGTGAATGTTTTACTTGAAGCTACGTCAGGTCACGTCTAGTGAGTGTGCAGAGCTTCTGTGTCTAATTTTCTTATATACACTCTTAGATAAACTGCAACTCTGCACCAGGTCACTAGGTATCTGTTGAATCAAAAGGGACCTGGGAAAACTTTAATTAAACATGAGGTATTTCAAACTTTGTCCAATTGAGGGCCCTGCTGACAACACGCCAGGAACCTGACCGATGCACCTACTTGGCATTCAATGGAGCAGACTGCAGCCACCTCTCCTCTTTCATACAGAGGTACAACTTGTTTTGCTGACAGATTCCAGCATGCACTGCGCCATCTCAATCCCCGTGGCCTTAGAGATGAGACCAGCCATGTGCCGCCCTGCACAATTCTGTGGGCTGCATTATACAGGATATGCAGCAGCTTCAGTCACCTGCATGCTGAGAAATCCCAAGATAGAATCACTTTGCAGAACTGCACTTGAAGGGCCAAATTCTCAAAGGAATTCAGCTCCCACCTACACAACTTCTGACTGGCCCATTTAAGTGCCTAAATGGGAGCTGAGCTCCTTTGAAAATCCAGCCCGAAATGTACTTCGTGACCAGGGGATCACAGGAAAAAAACGTGAGGCGAAATAAGACATGCTGCAGGGGTCTCATCTAGTTCAGCGCTGGGTAGTGCAAGATTTCTCCTGGTCTGATCTCAGTGCTTTGCCTAGGACTTGTGCATTTTTTTGATTTCAGTCCAGCAGCAGAGTACACCAATGATGTTTGATCAGAGAGAGAGCACCCTCTTTCACCGTAAGCAGTGTGACTGTTCAGCTAAATATAAACCCAGGGCCGTCCCTAGCCATTTGGGTGCCTTACATAGCCACCCCGCGGGGAGTGGGGGGGACTGTGTGGGGCCCCAGGCCTCCCCCCCCAGGGTCTGGGAGGCAGAAGCTGTGGGGGGCCACTTTGGGGGGCCCCGCAGGCCCAGAGTGGTCTGGGGGATTAGCAGGGCGCTGGGAGCAGCCCGGTCCACTTCCCTCGTCTTGGCCCCAGCCGTGTCGCTTGGGGGAGGGGGCTTGGGGGAAGGGATCCCCCCACTCACCAGCAGCGGCGGGAAGCGGAGCGCCGCGGCTGGGAGCTGCTGGAGTAGAGCGGGCTGGGGCCAGGTTGCGACACTTCCCGCCGCTGACAGTGAGTGCAGGGTCGCTGGGCAAAGAGGTGGAATGGGGGCGTGCCCGGAGCAGGGGGAAGGGTAAGAGGCAGGGCAGAGGGAGTTGTCGGGGCCCCACACCCGCCTAGGGACGGCCCTGCCCCTTGCAGGGGGTCCGGCCGAGGGATAGGGCTGGTCACCAGGGCTAGTGCTGTCGCGTATGCAGCACCCAGCTGCCTAAGGCACCATGAAATTTGGGGCAATTTGGTGCCCCAAATTCCATGGTGCCCTACGCAGCTGCGTATGCCTAAGGATGGCCCTGTATAAACCATCTACAGGTATCAGTGAGCCAGGGCTGACGGCTGCTTTCGATGGACACCTGAGCACGTGGCCCAATGAACAGTCGATCACCAGCACGCTTACAAGGCCCTGCAGTCAGTGGCTCAGGGACCTGTCTGGTTCTGGAAGCCGTTGTAGGTGAACGGGGGGAGGGATGGTGAGCAAGAGGCGGTCTTTGACAGGCAGGCAATATGGTTCACTTCACACATGCTGGGGTCCTGGTCACTTCTGAAATAGATGCCGTCAGGTGAGTGAACAGAGGGGTCTTCATCGAAATAGTTGTAGGGTCTCAGGAAAAAGCCGACTCCGTTCCCCACAGTCACTGTGTTAGGAATATCCTCAGTATGCGGGATGTGCAGGAAGCCAACAGAAATCCAGGCAACCAGGTCCTGGAAGAGGAAGAGACGCGTCATTGGGCTATTTCAGGAGAACACACCTGGGGCAGACCCTCTGTAAACACCACTGGGCACTGACCATTGGTCCAGCAGACACTTCAACACACACAGGGAATGAGGGAATACCCTGCTGGCTGTGACATGACCTGTTCTAGCCAGCACTGTGTCTGCCCACCCGTGGGTTGGACTCCCCATCTGCTTGCTGTGTGTGTCTGTCTGACTGTCCTGCACACTCCCCTGGAAGGCGCTGCAACCCTCAGTGGAAGGAGAACCCAGCACACCTCATTTACGATGGTCTCATTGTCTATGAAGTCAGCGAAGGCCACGGTGGGCGTCCAGGGGTCGTTCTGGTTGTAGATGCTGGTGCTGGTCGGCTCCTCCTCTTTCCGTTTGGTGACGGCCAGTTTGTACCTAACGAGCAGAGAGAAGAGATTGATTTGCTCTCCCCATGCAGACTGAGCCTGAGTGACGACATCCCTGCTGGGAGCCTGGACTCCTGGGTTCTCTTCCCTGCTGCGTGAGCCTGGGCAAGTCACTTCTCCTCTCTGTCCCTGTTTCCCCAGCGGCAGAATGGCAATAATAATCCCTGCTCCGAGAGTGGGTGTTTGTTGTGCATTTGTCGGGGCGGCGTGCTAGCGGCACACCCTCTCTGCAAATCAGCAGCGCTCACACAGCATCTGTCAATGGGGAGCGCCCCGGGAGAGGACCCACCCACACTTGCAAATGCTGACAAGGGGCAGGGGAGAGGATATGAAACGGAAGGGCCATGAAACTATCAGCACCACATGGTCAGACAGATGCGTCCTGGAGGACAGGCCATGGCACAGGCTGTGTGGTGGAGAGATAGTCTGGGACATGACAGCAAGGGCTAGAGAGATTACCCTAGAGCTCCGGCTACAGGGACCTTGTGAGCCCCCAATTGCTCCCTCGCAGTGGGCATCATAATACAGTTAAAGGGACACTGCTCAAGATGACAAGACTCAACATGTAGGTGGTGTTAAATAACAATCTAGATTCACATAGAGACGGGGGGGCCATAATATCTTTTATTGGACCTCACCCACCTTGTCTCCCTAATATCCTGGGACCAACACTGCATACAACAATCGAGATTCACAGCATTTCAGGCCAGAAGGGACCATAAGATCTATCATATCCTTCCTGTATGATAGGTAGGCCATTAAATTTCACCCTGTTACTCTTGTATTGAGCCCTAGAACTTCAGAAATGGACCCAGGCCTGATCTGAAGACATCACGAGACAGAGAACCAACACTTACCCTGGGACTTCATTCTAATGGCTAATCGCCCTCACTGCAGAAAACTGGGGCCTAATTTCTGATTTGAATTTGTCTGGCTCCAGCTTCTAGTCAATGAACGACTGTGGAGAGAAGCAATTCTGCCCCTTTTCTCTTGCATTTTAAAGGCCAAGAATATTTATTTTAATTGTTCAACCTGTCCCCTGTAGGGCAGGAAGCTCCAGCCCCCAGCCCAGGGCTATGGCATGACCCTTTCTGATTTCCCTCTCCAAACAGAGCAAGGACAAAGTTAACAAAGAGCCATGGCCCAGGGGAAAGAGAATTGGGGTTTGAAATACTTTGGGGTTTGTGTCATCAGCAAAATAGCGTGGAGCATCTCTGGGGCTGACCCTGAGGTGAGTCGTCATCCCCCCCTCCCCGCCCCCGACTGGGGCCTCCATCTCTGGGGCTGAACCCATGGTGAGTCCCCCCCCCTTAGACTGGGGCCCCCATCTCTGGGGCTGAGCCCATGGTGAGTTCCCCCCCTTTAGACTGGGGCCCCCATCTCTGGGGCTGAGCCCACGGTGAGTGTCCCCCCTCCCAGACAGGGGCCCCCATCTCTGGGGCTGAGCCCACGGTGAGTCCCCCCCTCAGACAGGGGCCCCCATCTCTGGGGCTGAGCCCACGGTGAGTCCCCCCCTCAGACAGGGGCCCCCATCTCTGGGGCTGAGCCCACGGTAAGTTCCCCCCCTCCCCTCAGACAGGGGCCCCCATCTCTGGGGCTGAGCCCACGGTGACCATGGGAGCTGTGCCTGGATGCTTTTAAAATCTATTTTTATCTTCACTCACAGCTCCCTAGACTCCAGCAGCTGGGCAGGGGGAGCGAGCGCCGCCGTACTCCCGGCCACTTTCCCTCCACTTTGTCCCAGCCCTGGATGCTATTTCAGTGCAGGGATTTTACATCATTTCCCCTGGGGGGGGGGGGGGGGGCTCGCTAGCAGTGATGGGGCCCCCAGAGCCTGAGCAATGGCAGAGAGGGAAAGCGCATCTGCAGAGCTTGCACCAGGTCAGTTTCTGCTTTGGATCCATCTCTCCGGGTCTCACATCCCTGCTGCCCCAGAGAGACCCCAGCAGGACAGGGTGGGAGAGCCGGGGTCAGAGGCATAACCCAGCCGGTATATCAATCCGAACACAGCATTACTGCGGCACCCAAGCAAGGCTGGATGGAAACAGGCCAGCATTGAATTCCCTCCTTGATCTTGGCATCAGACTGGAGAGTCCATCCAAGCCAGTGTCCCGTTTCTGAAAGGTTCCACCGTTTCAGAGGAAGGTGCAAGAAACCCCATAGGGGGACTTGTGGAAAAACTGGTTCCCCTACTGCCAGGCAAGCAGTGCTTGGCTCAGGCCCTGAAGCAGGAGGCTGTTGGCCCATTGCTGTACCATTGGGGGCTGTTCCCCACAGCCCCGGTTTTGCAGCCACTGGTCCCAGCATGGCACCAACCCAGAGAGGGATGGCAATTCTTTAAGCGCAAGCAGGAATTGCTTAATTTCTAAATGTAAACACTTACCTCCCCCAGCTGATGGACCGCTCCATGGAACTGGCTTCTGGCAGATGGTCCCCAGCAAAGCTGACTATCTGGATCCTGTAGCCACGCTGGTGGCACCACTTATTTTCAACGTTGGTGGTGAAGTGGATGTATCTGGGAATCTTGGAGTGAAGTGGGAACACGGCCTTGTCCTCAGTGTCCAGGACTTTCCTGGTGAGCCGTGGCCTCTGTATCTGGTGCTCTGGACTCCAAGGAGCCTGCACGGTATCGAATGTCATGTCATGAGCCACCAGAGAATTCTTTGTTCCTACAAGGCAAAGAGAAAACCTCTGAGAAATTGCGCCCTTGACCTCCTGGGGTTCCCGACAGGTTGTAAGAGTCGGGCCTTGGCTCATTCCAAGCTGCAGGCTACAGAGGCAGGCCCTGCAGCTCACTCAGGAGGACGAAGAACTGTGTGAAAGCTCTTGAACAGAACCAATCTATTGCAGAGGAAACACCACGCCCTCCAAAAGGAGCAGCTGACAATGCTACAGAACAAGGAACTTCCTACTCACTTAGCATGTTGGGACATGAAAAATTCTAGCGTTCTCTGCGGGATCGACTCATCAGGGTGAGGATCCCCAGCCCGCCCTGCTGTGCACCCGAACTACTTGTGTCCTCTTGGAAACTCCTCCTTGCTCCACTGCTTTCCATTCTTCAGCCATGTGGGAAATGGGGAAAGGTCATTTCCCCCCATAACTCCTGGGAAAAAGGGTGTTCTCCTCTCTCAACACTTAGAGCTGGCATGGGGAACTGAGATTTATTGCACAGGGCTTACTATACAGTGCATGTGTTTCAAAATCACCTGCTATATTTCTATGATGTCTCTTCAGACAGCTCCACCACTAAACGCTGTATCTGCCACCCTCTGTCTGTGACACGAGTATAGAGGTAGTTCTTTAATAGGTGCATCTTTTTTCATAGGTATCACCAGTCCATATTTAGATCGTTCAGCCATCTAACTCCTCGAGGGTAGCAAGATGTTACAGTTCACCCTCCAATCCTCTAATTGTGCAACCTTCAATAGTCTGTCGTCCAGTCTTCTAAGAGGTGCTGGTCCCATGGGACTCATGACCTGGGTGGATTAGGGGCAAGGCCCAGCCCATCTTTGTTGAGAGGACTAATGTTTAATTTTAGTTATAAAATACCTTGTGCTTGGCTCAAGAGAGTTTAAAAGGACAGAAGGGGACAGAAAATGAACAGCTGAATATAGCGAGGAGCTAGAGCTCTGCGCCTGCAGCTCTCCGGGAGGACGCCAAGTGCTTTCAGCCAACGCAACACAAGTTAGAAGCATTATAGCATCACAAGAGACTCTTGCTGGCTGATGATGCCAAGAGGGCAGAAACGGTCCCCAAAAGCTTCCAACAGCTGCTGCCTTTTCACAAGTTAACTCTTCCTGTGAAACCAGTCACAGGAGTCACATGACACAGGGGTATTTGCCGTTGAATCCGTCCTGCCCCAGGTCATGCCATGGCAGTCAGGAAGGAACTGAAGTTTCAGCTTCTTGCCAACTGTCCTGTGTGTCTGACACTCCTTGTGGCGGCTGTCCCATGTGTGCTGAGAATGCCTCTGGGACGGGACTTGCTCAGCGGATGCTCCACTGCTCAGGCTCACACCTATTGGGATGCTGATAATCACCACCTAGTGGTTAATTGGATACTTTACTGGTATGTGGCTAAGGTATGGTTGGTATTTTGTCACGTGACACTGTTCATGCAGAAAGTCACTAGCAAGAGTAATCTGTTTTCCATGCTATATCCTAGTCTAATAGCTGGGTTTGATTCCTGCAAGCATCCCCTTTGGGGCTAAGTAGGTCTGTTACATAAAGTGGCCTCTTACCTGTGCAGAATGAATGCATGCCCCCACAGGTGGATTGGAGTGAATCCGTCCTAGCTTCTTATTCCCACGGGCAGTTAAGTTATACTCTTCCATGTTCAATGCTGAATCCTTTCTTCTCCCCCCATGGAGGCGGTTGCATCCAAGATCTATGGCATGCTGTCAGCAAAGTTTGTGTCTACAGTTCCTAAACCTGCCAAATTTGATGTTTTTCCTATGGAAGTTGATCCAGAAAGTTTTCTAATTTAATCTGGCTGCTCCACTTTATCCGCTGCTCTGGTGAGTTTCTGTGCCACTTTTAGTTACACTGGTCTCCGGCTCGCTTCATGGGGAGGGGACCCTGCCAGCTCCCTGAATGGCAACCTATAGAATGCAGAGCTTATATCTAGTGGCCCCAATTCTTGCTACATTCCAGCCCCTTTACACCATTTCAGAACAGGGCAGATCCCAGAGCAACCCAGGGCTGCTGTAATGACACCCCAACACACTCAGCTCCTGGCAGAGGAGTGAGCCAAGGGGTGGGGAAGGATGCGGCTGCCTCATCCCTTTGGGTTGCAGCTGTTCTGGGCTGTGGGAATCTGCCTTCAATTAGGTTCTAATTTACACTGGGGGATGGGCAGGCCCTGGCCAAGCCCAGAACTCAGAAGCCCCCTTTGCGCCACCTTGGGCTGCTCTTCCCAGAATGTGGTTCCCCATAGCTACAAAGAGCATCGCAGTGCTGGGTGTCCTTCACAATGCACAGGCACGAGAGAGAGAGAGAGAGAGAGAGAGATCGAGCACACATGCAAAGAGACCTACCTCCAACATCCAAGTCCACTTTATAATTGATGAGATGGTTGTGCATTGTCCCTAGGGTGTGTTCCCCAACCCGATTGCCATGTTCAGTGCCTGTGCCATAGAGAAAGGACGAGCTAATATAGCCAGTGGCGTGGATTTTTACTTCAATCGCTCCGTTCTGGTAGAAGATGAAGTCCCAGACGTAGTCATAGTTTATGAGAGTTGAAATGGCCCTAAGAACAAGGGCATATTTAGTCAGCCCGCCATAGTACAGGGACTGCAAGTTGGAGTAATGGCGCCTCAGCGGGACTGAAGTGTCCTGCTCGAAAATACATAAGGAGTTTTTATTAACTTTAGGGGTCTCTGATTCAGCTAGATAGTGTCTATCCACATAGGTGGCTGTGTAGGGGCAATCAACACCTCTGACCAGCTCAAAAGCAAACTTGCCAATGCCAAAGCTCCCATCCATATATCTAGTCACCATCCCGCCGGGACAATTAGAGCCGTAGACAGCAAGGGCTTCTTGGAGACTCAGCTCATAGACAATCCTCTCTCCATTGAACTTGATGTCAAAGAGACGTGGTCCTGTGTTCACATCCATCCCAAAGGCGAAACTCCAGGACTGGAAGATGACGTGATTGTTTTGGATGCTGTAGCGGGGTTCACAGGGCTCATATTGCAAAGGGCCTGGTGCCACGTGGGCTGCTCTGGGCCTCATGGAGCCAAATTCCTCGTCAGGTCGGACTTTCTTAACTTTTACATCTTTCACGCGGCCTTGTATGAACTCGGTCTCCAGCTGCTCCATGTCTCCATAGTACTGGCCATTATAGAACACTTGGCTTATCCTCCACTGGGAGACGTTCAGGCTGCTGTGATTAACCAGCACCTCCAGCCCCACTGGGTGCAGATAGTAGCCGCTGCCATGCACGTTCTGGAACAGAACAAACCAGGTGGCACGATCTCCTGACTGGAACCCCCGAGGAACTGTGGTGAGGGTAGCAAAATTGGTCTCATCATAATCACAGCACTCTCTGAGCAAGCCGGGTGCTTTGGCGAACTCCTGGTAGACAAAGCGGTCAATATCCTTGTATTCCTTCTCAGTCACCGGTCTGCGGTGATACGGCAGCTTCCCTCCGTACTTCCGCACTGTGACATCCCTGTGAGTCGTCGGCTTGGGCAGGGGACCCACCACGTACTCCGTGACATTCGGATCTGGTTGGTTTCCAAAATACACCACAGCCAGCGCCTGCCGCGGGGGTCGCCTGCCCCCACGATCCAAGAACCCCAGCACCTCTGCCTTGGTGGGGATCTGCACATCAATGTAATAAATGCAGTTATCAGAAGGGTTTGCTTGAGAGGCATCTACCAATGGCACCCCAAGGTTTTCCTGAAGATACATCACCACTTGCCCCATTTCTTCCGGCGTCAGATCAGCGAAGACCAGGCTCTGATCACTGTGCTTTCCCCCCTGGCTGCTCAGGGTCTGCGGCTCACAGCTGGCTGGTTTCGCTCCTCTCGTCAGCAACACACAAACCAAAGCGAAGATCGTGGCTAGCGCCAGGACCAAGAGGATGAGGACAGTTCTCAGGTTCATGTTGCTATCGCTGCAGAGCTGGCTCCTGAAGCCTCACAGAATGGGGGCGCCTGCTGCAGTCAGTTTGCTGCTGGACGCGTTATTCCAGGAGAGCTGGGTCTGTTTGTGGGGAGGTGCAGGGCTAGAGGAGGGAGATGTGGTGGGAAGATGCTTGAGGTTTGCCATCAACCATAAAAGGCTTCTTCTCCGTCTCCAGACCATTCACAGGCTCCGCTTCTTAAGCGGCGCTTTAGGTCTCCACACAGCACTCACTTCCTGGCCAGCTCTTCGGGAGGCGGGTTACAGAGGCTGCTCCCAGCTCCATGGTCCTTGGGGCTTTGGAGTTGTTTTAGAAAACACAAGCATAGACTCCAAACAACAGGGAAAGCAAAATGCTCTGGACAACAAAGCAGAGACGTTGCAGACGAGAGATGGTCTGCTAGGGGCTTCTTGCCAGATGCTGTAACCCAATCCCTCCCTGGCTACAGTCCACTTCTCTGCTGCCGTGTCCCAGACGTCCCCCCTTTGGGCTTCCCTCTGTCTTGCTTCGCACGATTCCCCTGCATGGTGATTTACTTGGTTACATCCCCAGAGCTGTTGTTTGGGCTGATCAGTCTGGATTTGTCTCTCACACCTGCTCTGCTGACTCCTTCATTCAGTGTTTGACGGCTCTGGTGCTGGGTCCCCAAAGCTATTCCCTATTCCAGCCTCTCAACACAGCAGGGAGTTCCCCCACTGGGTGTGTGGCACCCTACTGTGCGACAAGCCCTCTTGGAATGAACTCCTCACTGGTGGTACAACCCAGCGGGAAGAAGACTGGGCCCATGGGGGCTAGGGACTCTGTCTTTGCTCGTTTGTTTGTCAAGCACCATGCTGAGGCGATCTGCAATAAACAGGGGGCTGCTGGGAGGGGCATGGGGCCGCAGGAGGCCTTTAGAAATAGGGTTTATATTCTGTAGCGGCACCCAGGTGACGGGCACTGAACAAACATACATGGAGAGACAGCGCTTTCCCTCCAGAGCTCACGCATGTTCTGAAATGAGCCCAGAGCAAATCAGCAAATCCCACTCCCCTTCCCCACATTCTGAGGGTTGGATGCACCAATCACAGATGTGCTGTAGGCAGGTTCTGATGATGGCCAGACCGGGTCAGAGACCAACAGTGTCTCATCCCCTCAAAAATCTCCTTCCCCCGGGCATACCCCCCCGCCCGGGGTCTGAGCTGGATTTGGTGCAGAAAGATAGAGAAGCCCAGGATTCTCTGACTCCACTCACAGGCTCAGGTGCAAACCCAAGCTCAGCTAAAAGAACAGGAGGACTTGGGGCACCTTAGAGACTAAACACATTTATTTGGGCATAAGCTTTCGTGGGCTACAGCCCACTTCTTCAGATGCATAGAATGGAACACACAGACAGAAGATATTGATACATACAGAGAACTTGAAAAGGTGGGAGTAGCCAGACCAACGGTAAGAGGCCAATCACTTGAGATGAGCTGTCATCAGCAGGAGAAAAAAAACCTTTGACGTGATAATCGAGATGACCCATAGACGGTGTGAGGATATTTTAACATGGGGAAATAGATTCAATTAGTGTAATGACCCAACCATTCCCAGTCTCTGTTTAATTGTATCTAATGTGCATATTAATTCGAGTTCAGCCGTCTCTCTTTGGAGTCTGTTTTTTGGTTGCAAAATTGCCACCTTCAAGTCTGTCACTGAGTGGTTAGAGAGGTTGAAGTGTCCGGCTCGGCTGTCACTCAGTTTGCCTTGTTAGTAAATTGTCCTTTTCCAGCCCTAACTCCCACACTCAGCAAATGCCACTTCTCCCTCAGGCCTCTGCTCCCATCCCCACATTTCCGGCCCGCCTCTGCTGCCTTCTCTCCTGCTGTTTAGGACATTAGGTGTTTTCCCCTCTTCCCATCCCCCTTCCCTTCCTCTTTTAAGGTCCTAAGTTCCTTTCACCAAACTCTTGGGGAGCCTCCAGCTCTCGCTGTGTTACATGCTTTGCTTTTGTAACAGCCGGGCAGGGCTGGCTCCAGGCTGGCTTCAGGATTTATGGTCTCTCTGAAACCGGCATGTTGCCAAAACCAAAGCATTTCCTGCACGCTCCACCCCACGAGCAGAGCTGACCCGGGTGACTATCTCTGGCCTCATCCCGAGGGCTGCTGCCCCTTCATACCAGGAACAGGGGAGAATCTGGACTCTGCATGGGGGTGGGGGCTACACCCCTGATTGGTTAAGACCCCATGGCCTGTCCTGTACCCCCAGTTTGGCAGAAATGGCAAGCTCCGCTCAAGCATTTTGGAATTGTCTCCTTGGGCGTTGGGCAGGGAGGGGGCTTAGACCAACCCTTCCTATGATGGAGGAGAGGTCTGAGCTGCCAGCTCTGCCCCTTTCCTTCCCAGGAGCCCCGTTCCCAACCCCAAATCATTTTCAAATTCATCCTTCCAGTGGAGCAGGGCAGCATCCCAGCAGATAAAATGCCTATCTCCTCTCGCAGCCAGATCAGTGGCCCACTGGGCTCTTTTGGGGCAACATGTCCCTAACTCTGGCCTGTGGACCATCCCTCTGCCCGGGGGCATGGCCCTCCTTGTGACTTGACCCAAACCTGCACGCAGAGCCCCGTCCCCTCAGCAGGCAGCGGGGACAGGCCCTGGCTGGGGATGCTTGTTGCAAGGTGGGCATCAGAGGGGGCCCCAGGGCACAGGGGGCTGGGATTGGACAGGCTGGAACCCCCCAGGAGTGAGATGGATAAGGCAGTGCCATTGGCTGTCTGTGGGGAGCAGGGCTGCCCGGCCCCTGGCACTCGCCTGGGGTGCTCACACCAGCAGCACCCGCCATATCTCAGCTGCGCTCTCATGACGGGCACTGGCCTGCAGCGCCTCCTTCTGGCCCCGGGCTGATGTGCCAACTGCCTCTGCCTCCCGTCTCGCTGCCCCAGGCCCCAGCCCAGAGTGGCAGAGACTCAAAGGTGAGGGGGAGCCCCAACTCCAGCCCCACAGCCACTGCCGCTGGCTTCCCAATCAGCCCAGCACCCCAGGCCTGCACCCCCTCCCCTGGCCCAGCTTGTGAGGACTCAGGTGCTCCAACACTGGAGTCACAGCCTTGTGCCCCATCTACGCTTCTGCTGCTCTTCAGCCATCTTGCTTTTACATCCAGGATTTACCAGAGATCGCTGTCCCCAAAGGGGAGATGCTGAAGAGCCACTTGTCAAATCTTCATCCCTTATTCCGTTCCTATTGCTGAACTACCCGAAAGGTCTGGAAAGCCAAGTGAGTAGGAGTGACTCAGCTCACAGCCTTCTGCACAGGGCCGGCTCCAGGGTTTTGGCCGCCCCAAGCAGCCCAAAAAAAAAAAAAGCCGCGATGGCGATCTGCGGCGACAATTCGGCGGGAGGGCCTTTGCTCCCAGCGGGAGTGAGGGACCGTCCGCCGAATTGCTGCCGAATACCTGGACGTGCCGCCCCTCTCCGGAGCGGCCGCCCCAAGCACCTGCTTGCCAGGCTGGTGCCCGGAGCCGGCCCTGCTTCTGCAGGGCGCCAGACTCTCACGGCAGCCAGATCAGACCCTCAGGAGAGGCCTCAGGCTACAGGGCTTTATATATCTGATGTTCTTGAAAGGCACGAGCCCATGAGGAGGACTGGTAACCTCGGTGAGATCTCTCAGCTGCTGTAGGGCTTGTGCTTTCTCAAGGCTGGGATTTAAGCAAAGCTTCAGGCCAGAGCATGTTTTAAAGGTTGACTTACCAGTGTAGGCAGCGCACACTCCCCCTGTGGAATTCGTTCCAGGGGATGTTGTGAAGGCCAAAAACTATAACAGGGTTCAAAAAAGAACTAGAGAAGTTCACGGACGTCAGGTCCATCAATGGCTATTAGCCAAGATGGACAGGGACGCAACCCCATGCTCTGGGCGTCCCTAAACCTCTCACTGCCAGAAGCAACAGGGGATGGATCACTCACTGATTGCCCTGCTCTGTTCATTCCCTCTGAATGGCCACTGTTGGAAAACAGGATACGGAACTAGATGGACCATTGGTCTGACCCGATACGGCTATTCACACGTGCTTACGCTAAGACTCTTAGCCCCTTCAGCCTTCGTAGACACAGGCAATGCAACACTTTAAGAATAAGGCATTTGAGATAACTTTGGACCAACATCAAGCTTCATTATTTTCACCTGAGCCAGTTACTACTCAGTATTTATTATTGTGATCAGAGGAACAGAATTGGCTCTCCTTCTACCTGCCTCCCTCCATGCGACAGGCTGGATTTAAACATGTTATTCTAAAAAAGACTAATGCAAATGGTCACCTGGCAGTGCACTGAGCATGTTCTGTTTCCCTTTAAAGATACAGCCCCTTGTAATAGTGAAGTTACTATATAAAAAGCTACACAACATCATTGACAGAGGGACTTGAAGACAGATTTCCATTATTAAAATAGATTTTTTTCAGCAGAGGAGTCACTCTGGTGCATCATATTCATTTCTCCTACCACACAAAGACCCTGCAGCCCACAGCTCTTACAGTCTCGTCAGATTTTGGAAGCCGTCATAGGTGAACGGAGGGAGGATTGGTAAACATGAGGCACTTTTGGACAGGCAGGCAATATGGTTGACTTCACATGCACTCGAGTCCTGCTCCCTGCTGAAAAAGACGCCATCAGGTGAGTGTATGGACGGGTCTATGTCATAATAATTGTACGGTCTCAGGAAAATGCTGACTCCATTTCCCACAGTCACGGTGTTGGGAATGTCCTCGGCATGTGGGATGTGAAGGAAACCGGTTGTTATCCAGGCAACCAAGTCCTGGGGAAGGGAGACAGTGTCACATAATTTGGTTATTTCAGGAGAACATCCATTGGGGAGCACATACTGTCCGAGGACAGAACCTGCGAATGCCACCTGCCGGGCTCCCTCTTTAGGACAGTGGCTTGGGCAATGGAAACATTTTCCTGACCTTTTTTCCCCATTTGTTGGGATTTCAGATTTTTCAGACTGTCCTGACCGGCTCTGCTCATTCACTCTACACACGACTCAGTCGCAGGGACTTCACAAGAGCAAAGAATGAACAGGTGCCAGCTCGGAAGAGGGGAAACATGGAGTGCAGTGAGTTATTTCTCCTTCCCCAAGGTTTTCCTTTTGTCGCACAGAAACCAAAAGTCCTGTTAGCAATGTCTGTCTGAGCCCTGAGCAAAAGAACGGGGTTTGTCTGCGTGGGTCCTGGGCTGTGGATAGCTCTAAGACTGAGCATAATACTTGGCACACTGTGATATATGGCCCCATCACAAAGAGAACCCAACTCACCTCGTTTACGATGGTCTCATTGTCTATGAAGTCAGCAAAGGCCACGGTGGGCGTCCAGGGGTCGTTCTGGTTGTAGATGCTGCTACTGGTTGGTTCCTCCTCTTTCCGTTTGGTGACGGCCAGTTTGTACCTAACGAGAGGCAGCTACACAGGTCAGGGACATTTAAAACCAGATTGGGAGAAATATACTACAGGAAACACTCTGCCCTGACCCCACCTGGCAGGGTGGACGGGGCATGGGCTACATAATGTAATGGGTCTTTTCCATCTCAAGCGTCTATGATCCTAACGTATACCTCACAAAACAATTACCACAACATTCAGCCCAGCCGGCCGGATCTACAAAGGAAACACCAGAGACTGGTATAGCAGGGTGCCAGTGAGGTGCATCAGCAGAAGGGGAATAGGTGTGACCTGGACAGACTGGAATAGCGGGTACTGCAGGTCATGACTGAGATGCACTGACTGAGCTGTGGCCAAGGGGTGAGGCAGGACTGGGAAAACAGAGGGGGCTTCAGGCCACAGTTAAGGTGCACTGGAAGAAGTGAGTGGCAGCAGGGTACAAAATGAACCAATGAAGTAGAGAATTCAATCAAGGTTGCAACAGAGGTTTGGCTTTAAACTCCAAGGAGTGGGCAAACAGCTGATAGGGCATAACGAAGGCTACGTTTATGTCATGGAATTAGTTACTTCCAGAGACCTCGGTGACATTTGCTGCTTCAGCCCCAGGGGCTGCAGGACTCTGGAGCTGACAGCCAGTGACAGACTCCTGAGGGGGCCCTCCTCAGGGTTCCAGTGGCCGTGCAGGAGGTGGGGGGTGTCCTGTTTTCTCTTTGGGAAATATGGTCACCCTGCATCTCCCAGCTGCTGTGGGTGGAGGGGGAACCCCACAGCTCCCAGCCACCAGGGAGCCGCAGCAGCAAAAGTCACAGACGGGTCACAGATTCCGTGAATTTTTGTTTATTGCCCATGACCTGTCCATGACTTTTACTAAAAATAACCATGACAAAATTGTAGCCTTAGGCATAACTCCCAGTGATAACGTCATACCCTTTCATTAGAGCGTACAAGAGCCTTTGCCCACGTCCATTCTATGGCTACCTGAACCATGCAGCCACTGGACACCTAGACACCCACAGGTGACTTATGCATCATCATAAACTACGTGGTAACATCTAGATGAAAGCTGCCTACCTCCCCCAGCTGATAGCTCGCTCCATCAAACTGGCTTCTGGCAGATGTTCCCCGGTGAAGCTAATAATCTGGATCCTGTAGCCACGCTGGTGGCCCCACTTATTTTCACTGTTGGCTGCAAAATAGATGTATCTGGGCATGTTTGAATGGAGCCGGAACGCAGCCTTGTCCTCTGTGTCCAGGACTGCTTTGGTGAGCCGTGGGCGCTGTATCTGGTGCTCTGGACTCCAAGGAGCCTGCACAGACTCGAATGCCATGTCATGGGCCACCAGAGTATTATTCACCCCTAAAAGACAAAGAAAAACACCACTGAGAAATCACTTCCTGTACTTCCTAGACAGCATATGCATTCTCACCATCACCCCGTCCCAGAGACTCTGAACGACGTGGGTTCTGCATGGGGCCCATCCATGTCTGCAGCTCTATGCCCAACAAGCCGTCTAACGCCAAACCAGCGGCTAAATCCTTCTCAGCAACGACTGCAGTTGTGATGAGTGGCTGAGATGCAACCAACCCCATCATCTGGCTCCCGTAATCACCTAAGGTGAAATTCACCCTGTGCAGAGGGTTAAGTGGAGCCTAAGAGATGCATTACCCTTGTGCTAGCCTGCACTCTCCCCAGATGACAACACAGCTACTGTAATTAACAAATGTTACATATACAATAGATCAGTGGTTTTCAACCCTTTTTCATTTGCAGACCTCTAAACAATTTCCAATGGAGGTGCAGACCCCATAGTCTGTGGATCTCCAGGTGTCCGCACACCACAGGTTGAAAACCACTGCGATAGAGCAAATAGAATATTTCTGCTCATGATTTTGCAGCTTCCTAGAAGAGACGGTGAACTTGCAAAGTGACAGGGGGAGTGAGCAGCACCTCTCAAGAACTGGGCGATTCCATGTAATTCAGGGCCTTGCAGGGAACGAGTCTGAGCAGTAAGGGTCGGGGAGGGCGGCTTTTGTCATATGTGAATTCCAGGGATTTATAGAGTGGCATTATGATATTTTCTATTGTATTATCCGTCCCTTTCCTGATGGTTCTAACCTTCTCTTCACTTTTTTGACTGTTGCTGCACACAGAGCAAATGTTTTCAGGGAACTATCAACGATGACTCCAAGATCTCTTTCTTGAGCGGTAAGAGCTAATTTAGACCCCTTCATTTTATATGTATAGCTGGGATCAGATTTTCCAATGTCCGTTATTTTGCACTTACCAGCATTGAATTTCATCTGCCATTTTGTTGCCCAGTTTTGTGAGATTCCTTTGTAACTCTTCCCAGTCAGCTTTGGACTTAACTATCTTGAGTAGTTTTGTATCGTCTGCAAATTTTGCCACCTCACTGGTCACCCTATTTTTCCAGATCATTTATGAATATGTTGAACAGCACAAGTCCCAGTACAGATCCCTGGGGGACACCCCTATTTACCTCTCTCCATTCTGAAAACTGACCATTTATTCCTACCCTTTGGCTAGGTCTACACTACCCGCCTGAATCAGCGGGTAGAAATCGACCTCTCGGGGATCGATTTATCGCGTCCCATCGGGACGCGACAATCGATCCCCAAATCGGCGCTCTAACTCCACCAGCGGAGGTGGGAGTAAGCGCCGCCGACAGAAAGCCGCAGAAGTCGATTTTGCCGCCGTCCTCACAACGGAGTAAGTCGGCTGCGATACGTCGAATTCAGCTACGCTATTCACGTAGCTGAATTTGCGTATCTTAAATCGACTCCCCACTGTAGTGTAGATGTACCCCTTGTTTCCTATCTTTTAACCAGCTACCAATCCATGAGAGGATCTTCCCTCTTATCCCATGACAGCTTACTTTGCTTAAGAGCCTTTGGTGAGTGACCTTATCAAAGGCTTTCTGAAAA